TAAACTCGGAGGAAAAAACCTCGCTCTATTGTTATTAAACTGGTTCACACTTTTTCTCACTGCCGGCTGCTTTCCGATTTAATGGAAGCAATCCATTATAACGGTTAAGCACAAGGGTGGCCCGAGAAATCAAATGTCAAGTTACCGCCTAATAAACCACAACTCTTTTGCTTCCAAAGTCCAAGAGAGAATAGTCAAGAAGAACATCGTTCAATATCTTCAAGACTGGATCTGCTAAACCCCACACAGCATGATTTTCTCTTAAAACACTCCTGCGTTACCTACCAGCTACAATTTCTCGATCCCATCACGACTATGGTTGACAGAGGAATAGCAATTAGTATAATTCTGTTGGACATGCAAAAGGCGTTCGACCGCGTGCCACACAAGCTACTGCTGTCTGCTCTATAGTCATATGGAATTGGAAATCCCCTGCTTAACTGTTTCGACTCATACCTAAACGGTTAAACTCAGGTAGTTAAAATCGGTAAACAATATTCTATACCGAAACAAATAACCAGTGGCGTCTTCCAGGCAAGTGTGCTCGGACCACTACTTTCCATAATCTACGTAAACCACATGTGACCCGATCAAACATGGACACCCATTTCTGTTTGCAGATGACGTCAAACTGGTCTACGCATTTCATTCAGCCGAGCTACAAATGTGCGTGGAAACATCTTCGAAAACCTATTCGCACTAAATATAGCTAGTGAGTGTTTAGTAATGAAGTTCTTTGCAGTGAAATTCCAAGTACTTGAGTACAGATGCAGCATCCCAGAAGGCTCTAGCATATTTGCCGGAAACGTGATCCCAACGTCTGATTCCGTTCGGGGCTTAGGAATTAGGTACTCCAACTTTTTTAATTTCTCCGAACATGTGCTTTATCAGGTTGCGAAAGCAAGACGGTTTTGCGGATATATCACCAGCACTTTTCCGCTACTTGAAACACGACTTGAGTCATTCAAGACAATCGTACGACCGACTCTGGAATACGGTACTATCATTCACAGCCAATTGAGAAAGAAAAACAGAACGGCTTTGGAAAATGTCCAACAATCATTTATCAAGCTGGTCATGGGGCGCTGCTCAAACCTGACTTGTTATGATTGCTGTTGAAAGCTTCAGTTGGACCCTCTTTGGCTGAGACGCTTAAAGAACTACCTCGTTCTCTTTCACAACATTATAAACCAACGCATTTACGCAGACAGCACCGCACTTGAATTACGGAAGAATCCAGTCTACCCTACACGTAATGGCGGTTACTTGCTACGCACAAAGCTTGCAAGTCCTAAAATTCGATCGAATTTCTTCTTAGTGAGATACACTGATCCGTGGTACAAACGACCCCTACAGATACGCATGTGTACAGATCATGTCACGTTTCGAAATTTCCTTCGGAAGTTCCTCACTATGCAAAATGTGTTGAAGATATTTGACTCACATCAAACCCTAGAAAAATTGACAGAAGCTGGTATAACAAACATATAAGCAGATATTCGTCCACAACTAGCTTACCGACTACATGTCATTACCAACAATAACAAATGCTGGATTTGTGCAGCCTAGTATCCCCTCCCTTTTATTATCTAATCATGAGCCACACAAACTAGAAAATGATGATACAAACATCCGTAAATTTTACATATTAGGTGCACGAGTCTAGGACCCGAGCGAAATGTAAATCATGATCCGAAATGCTATTAATAAACTTTTCTTTACTATTATGATTTACGCCGCATAAACCATGAAACCTATTCGCTATACAAATGGTCGCTCCCAATTATGGGGTCGTGTACCGTCTGTCGGTCAATATACAACTTCATTTATTTTTCTTTATTTATATTTAGCACGTTTCGGTCTGACAGTTAGTTGGCTAGTTATAGCCAATGAATTGCGCACATGCATTGGCCGCCAGTCGGAGTAGTGTCAAAGTGAAAACGAAAGAGATTAATGGAACAATATGCGTACGAAACCTTAGTACAAAACTGGTGCAACCATACTCGATATAATTCAATCTCTTAGCCAATTTTACAAGTGGATTGTATTAGTCTCACGCAGTGCAATAAGTAGTTTAAACATTTCAAACGTATTATAATGTTTCTAGAAGATTCCAAGCCTGGACTAAATACCAAATAAACAGAGTACACCACGTAGAGAGATTTCGAGATGGGATCCGTGAATTTCTTCGTTTAAATGTTCAAGAAGTTGATGGCGGAATGGGCAATAGCGTTGGACCACGTCATCCGCTTTAAGTGGTTGACTTGAGATATGTCGTGTCCGTGAAATTTTCGTGCCGTGTGACTCACAATCAGAAACAGAACAGTGTTGAAATCAGCCAGGAACTGCTTGTCACTACCATTGGCAACGGAAGGGCTACATGCACATTAAAACAGGCGATGGAGAGTGAAGCTGTGGCTAGGATATTAAAACCAAAGATCGGCCGTTGTAGCGGATCTGAAAACAGTCTCGTCGTTCAAGTAAGCACGCGTGAATCGGCCAAATGTCCAGGTACCGTCGGTTGTGTTTTGTTTACTGTAAGGCATTGCCCGTCAGCGATCCATACAACGTGGACAGATGATAAACAAACAAGTCTACTAAGGAATTCTAACGTGCTTAGGGGATGCAATGTGCAGAAAACAGTCTTGAAGGTTAGACTATCAGACTTGGAGGTTGACTCATGACAGTGCGCTGGCTCATGCATTGCTCCTTGTTCGTAGCTACTTGGCAAAACATCACAATCCCTTATTGCATGGAACTAGTCCCGGCTGACTTTGTTCGGTCTCCTAAACTTAAAAGAAAGTTGGGAGGAGGTTTTTTCCAAACCACGGAGGAGATTCAGAACAATGCGATAAGAGAACCGTGCACCATCCCGAGGATTGTGTACTAGGAGGATTTCTAAAGAGAAGCAATAATTGGGAACGCTCCATTGCCAGTTGTGGGGACTACTTGGGAACGGACAGTGTAGGAAGTGTTGTACAAAGCGCAGTAAAGAGATATTGAAGCTCGGATTCTTTCCGAACGCACCGCATACTCTCTATCTTCGGCCGATTAACTTTGGGACCAGTAGGCGCAGCTAACTGATGACGGAAGGTACACCCCACTGGATACATACATGTCGGATCACTACAGGAAGTTGTGATAACGATTCAAGCCATGCTCACGTTTATTGTGAGCTGGTAACCAAGAGTTTCGTACGTCGTGGGATGGTCCGATTAATGCATACTGGGACGAAATCGGTGAAACCTCAACAGGATATTACAATGTGTGATAGCCGCGGCTAGTCTGATCCGGTGGTAAACAGTGGGATGGTGTTCGTCGCGAACCACCATAATGGCTTGTGCTTCTACTCACTAATTTCGTTGCTCGAAAAGATGCTAGTACGGTGGTTACCAAACGTGAGTTACTTACGGACACAACTAAGTATCAGTATCAACGCAGGTAATACGGGTAGAACTACCGTCAAATCTGTATACAGCGGCAATTTTGAGCCCCGGACAGTGAAGAATCGATTGGTCAACTTGTGTACGTTGTACTAGAAATCGTAATTTGCTGCCTTCCATAATGATGGTGAACGAGGCTGTACTAGATCACAATGATTTGATTTAATTACGTAGGTAGAATAAGAAAGCCGTTAAACATCAAAGATAAGTCACATCCGTCGACATGGATTGAGCGTAAAGTCATGACTAGATCATCTTGTTCTCTTAGTTCACTCACAATATTTATGAATGAACTTGGCATGCTCCCATGATGTGATACATGAGCAGATACCACGAATTTTGTTGCCTTTACTTGCGATATAAGGGAATGTCACATAACTTAACGATTGAAAACAAATCATGGTTTCCAAACAAATTTCATTGTTTTTCATTCGTCACCTTAGCTTTATGACCATCTACTATAACCATTATCAATGTGAGGAGACTCCTAGATGCTTAACTGAGTGGGCGACCAGCTAAGCACTGAAATGGGTTCCTAAGACAGTCGCAGTAGGTTATTTCGCAGGTCGTTCAACATTGAATGATCAAACTACACGTACATTTTGTTATATGCACTGATGAATGCTTATACAGTTAATGCTTGCAGTCAGGTGTACTGACGCTGCATTTCGACACACGTGCGCTACAGATTCATGCGTCCTGCTAGTAAATTTTAGATTGTCGCGGTGGACCAGCTGTTTGGTGCAGCAAGCTGCTCTTTTGATTCTGACAGAATATCAGTTTACTGAAGCAAATATTCAGTGTACAACATTTTTCCTGACGTCACAGCTTTTCCTGATAACACGGGGCTTGAAAAGACTTTACTCTGTAAAGTGTGACACGCGACTATTACTTGTACATAATCGGTTAGGCGTGCAGGGATTTTTTTGTTTAAACGTGACTTGTCATATTAGCTCTGAGCTGTCTACCAGTGTCCCAACTAGTATTTCGACACAACGGGCGCTTTGAAAACCGAAAGTGAATTCTTCACGTTTATGATAGGTGCTTCCGGTAAAAGTCCGTGGAGTAAGGGTGAAGTGTTAACCGGTTAGCTTTACGATCTTACTTTTAGTCAAGTGATCAGTCATTCCTTTCTACGCAATCCAGTTAAGTTCGAAAACGTTGCTCAACTTCGAACGTGGAGTGGATAATGTGAAATTCCATGTATTCAAGGCAGGCTCTCAATAAACGAATTGATTACTATTCAACCGAAAGTAAATAAGGGTACAAAATGTCATCTGACGCCGCAATCCAACCACACAGCCGATAAGGTAAAATCCTGCGATATGTTAACCAAACTTTTCACATAGTTAAAGTAGGTGGGTGGAACGGACCTAAGGATGGCCTATTTTTGACGCAGCAGACAGATTAGTTAGCATGGACGCAGTAAGTATCGGGCGGAGTCGAACTGAGTCCAAATGGCGAACCCACCTGCAGAGAACTGTCCTTACTGCGTTCTTCCTCTCTGTCCCCCCATCTCCCCACTTTTAGGGCTTTAGCCCGCATCTGTACGCATTCATGAGAGACGAGCACGGTCGCCCCAGGACAATTCGTGATGCAGCCACCGGATTTCCAGCGCTTGGGATGAACTCTAAACAATTTTTTATTCCAAAGTAAGCCTTTTGCTATGTTAAATATATGTGAGTTGATGTTATCCTTTGTGTAATTATACTGTGTTGTCGTGTTTCCAGTAGCAGAAATAAGGTCTTTGAGTAAAAGGTGGCGGCTGCTACTGTTCCCGTGTTGCGCACCTTTGATGCTTACACCGTGGAATATACCAATTACCCACGAGCAAACCCAGACTACTGCTGGTTACTTCCAGCAATTATTCACGTGGATAACTTTCGAAAGTGAAAGATGTAGGGGGCGCATCAACAAAAGCTGTCGGATCGAGATATACTGATGAAGTATACATGTCTACTATTAACCGCCTATTCTTATCAACAGGGATCACTGTCAGTAAGAGTCGGTACAAATAATCGTGTACATAGTCGTCATCAAATCGTTACAGATGTACGGTAACCGTTTAATTTCGCCTTAAAACCACCTCCACCCGTCTTGGTTCTAATCCCTTTTTCCACATTTATTCCTAAAAATAAATTGAAATAACCACACAGGAATCCTGTTATTGGGGCATGAAGCTGCATTGTGATTTCTGTCTCAGCGGTATTAACTGAGTTACATGTACCACGTGTCGAAGTTCTGATGAGGGGGGTTTTATTTTAACTGATGTATTTTTTAACTTGTTGTTTTAAATAGGCACAGTAGTAGCGTTACGCTTGTAACTTGTTCGAAGGTTGAGCCAAGGAATTTAAACATGTCTGGACGTTTTAACTTTACCTTGCCATACGTCCACAAAATTGGTATGCAGTCGGTGCCAGAGACTGGGAAGTATCAGGAGCTTCAAAGAGCATAAAACATTGTAGATGCTCCGGTGTAGCCAAAAGGTTTGTGTCTAGATAATTTGATCAAAAATTGGTCGACGTTAATCTCATAGAATCTATAAGGTCACTGGGAAATGAACTGTGTGTCTCAGAAATAGCAAGCAAAATTGTTGTCTGTAAAAGTGTCCGATATCAGGATTATTTGTTATGGGGTCGCAAGTGAACTTAAAAATGCAGCTAAGGAATAAGGGACACGGTGCACCTCAAAAGAACAAGGGGCTGAGGTTCCAGCAGTCGTGCGCACAAAATTAACTCCGACTGCCATGCGTTCTAGTAAAAGTATAAATAAGCGTCAATGAACAATGCACAATGATTTATGACGGGTAAAAAAGCAGGTGCTTGACATGTCCCGTAGGGTGGATAGCGTGACAAAAAGATAGCGAAGGATAGCGAAGGGATAATGTTGTCAGTTTGGGCGCTTACAGATGTAACCGCATTTTCGTATAAAGGGGGTTCGAAACGAGGATGTACGCACACAAAGCAACAGGAGAGTGGTTATTGTTCACATCATAGGCGAGAAAAATTAAAAATACGATAGCAAGGACAACGCTTACTTGTGTGCGATTATCGTCGGTCGACAGGATACAGAAATCCAGTGTCTATAGTAGTAGCGTTTATCAAATTTCGTGCAACGCGTTTGGAGTGACTCGCTCTCGAGTAGGGTTATGGCACTATCCCCTGTCTGGTGTGCATTAGTGCCAGCATCTGGCCGTCATGAGCTATAGCCCGTAGTGTAAATGTGACAGGGCATCATCAAGGCGTTTTTTGAAAAGGGATAGGGTGGGTGCATTAATTACATGTTCGGAGAGGGCGTTCCAAGGCTATGCCACTCGAAGGGAAAAATAGTTTCGCCGACATTCCAGACGGCTGTACTGCGTGACTAATGTAAACTTGTGACCTCTTAGCGAGGTGTTTTGACTGAGTATTAGAAGGGAACGGCATGGGTGGTTGGGGTCTCTCAGGATTAGGTACACCATTATGAGATCGCCCTTTAGCCGCCGATAACGTCCACTGTAGATTTTAAGGGTCTTCAGCCTGAGTGGGTAGGGGAGGCTGGTCAAACCTCTGACGCTCTTCGTTGCCCTACGCTGTGCAGTATCGAGCGCGGTGAGATGGTGCTTGAGCCAGGGTTGCCACGCTTGGATAGCGTATTCCGCGTGCGACCTCACGTACGCGCTAAGCATTTTTGGAAAGATCGCAGGGTCAAACTTCCCGAAGGCTCTGAGAAGAAGGCCGAGGTACTGGTTTGCTTTCTTAGCTGCCTTTTCAGTCTGCCTCGAACAACCGAGGCCATCTTGAACTATCACGCCGAGATCGCACTCGTGAGAAGCCCGCTGTAGAATTTGTGAGCCTAGGCGGTAGCAGTGCAAACTCTTGTGCCGTATACTGAGTATCTGTTCATATCAACTTATGAATAACGAGTCAGAGCTACCACTGAAGCAGTTTAGCGTTGAATATTATCACATCAACTATAATTGAGAAAAAAAATACCAAATCGCCTTTATAATATTCGCAGCATAAAATCTATACACTATTTCAAGTGCTGGTTTTCGCAAACACCATCCCGTCCTCAGGTATCCTACCTAACTTGCATATAACAAAAACAAATACGAACAACAAGCTGGGTGCAGAGCCGTTGGTGAAATTAATCTCCAACATCCGGAGCAGTCTAAGTCCAGTAAATAATTGTGTGTGACACGGAACTAAATTCAGGAGGCATGTGATAAAAGCTTAGGCAAACAGAGGAAGAGAACGGAAATGCGACGTAGCGCAATTTCAAGCGTCAACTATAATTGTATATCCGTGCATGTCCTTGCTATCAATCTACGACAACACTGCTTGAGAAATGTTGGAATGCCAGTCTTTATCATCTCTGTTGCGGAACTCATTTCCTTAGGAGCAAGGGTTTATTCTGCAGAAACGCAACTCGGCGAAAATTACGTTTGTCAAGCTATACTCCTCCATATAATTTGCACGTTCACATAGATGAGATTCCTCGTTTGACACAGCTAAAATAACTGTGGGTAACTCACACGCATGTTGCGCAACCCGTGTGTCCAGTAATCAAAGCAGTTATCCGCGTCTCCCATTGGCTATTGCGCTCGCTCAGTTGGTCCATCCGCTCACCCTGGCATGAAACACATGACAATCCTGAACCTAATTTTGCACATGTTCCGTCATTTCACTTGCACAAGCGCATGATAGAGATCCCTTCACCGGATGTAACAGTGAGCTACCAGTTAAATCGACCATCACAACCTGGGTTGCATAGTAAGTTCTCTGAGTACCAGCGGTTATACGTCAGGTTATCGACAAAATAAGAAAACAGCCATCCGATGGTCGATATGTGTTCCAAAACTTTTGAGACTCGCAGTTGTCTGTGTTTTCCTCTAGAGTATTAAAAGTACTTGTTCCTCATCAGTGTATCTAGTGCACTGTAGCTCGTCGGCCAAGTAATCAACCGAGCCAATTCGTCTAGTATGAAGACTAAAACCTTGCAAGTGCCGCCTGTGTTGCATTGCTGTGAAACCGGTGTCGTGGCTCTACGGACTGGATGGTGTTGCCTTGCTGTGTACCGTCCCTTTAAAAAATGCTTTTCTCATGCGATTGAAATGAGCACCTAAGTACGGGTTTCTTTTCTGCTCCGCCTGTTACCTGGAATTAGAGTGTGTGAGATTAAAGTGCCTTAGCAAATGTGCATTTCGCAGCCCCGATGAATTAAAATTCAAAGTGTAATCCATTTGGCACGAAAATATAAACACGCAAAGAACCGAATGGACTGCCATCGATCTGGCGGCTAGCTGTGATATGGAATTGATAGCCGGCGTTCGCGTACAAAGTTTCAAACATACTTTCATCGACTTGACCAAAGGTATTAACAAACAGCTAAACTGATTAGTTATTTTGCATACACATTGTATGATCAGTACTTTTAGGTAGGGAAACACCTAAGACATCTACTTCAATTACCGTCCTAGCGATCGAAATGACGAAGGTTCGCTTCAATGGGAATCGCGTTCCACATTACGATGGCACGTCGCAGCTGATGCACAAACGATTGCCTCAAAATGGCTCCCCTGATTAATTCACCATCGGATCTAAATGGATCTTAGTAGAAAAAATCTTTCTGTTCAGAGAATGTATGTTTCAGTAGGCAGATTTTTCTACTACTGTTCGCTCATACTCCTAGCTGGTAATTGCCCATAGAGTCAATATCCCAGTGAGGTGCGAAAATCCATCAGCCAACGTCCCACTTTATGTTGAGGTGCATTAAGCAGGAACCGTGCAAGACGACACACTCTTCCTGTGTATTTAGGGCAAAAGTTTACAGCTGCGAATTAGTGGAGCTCATTTCATTGTGAATACTTGCAATGGAGTAATGGAACAATGGTTTATTACGGGTAAAAAGCATCGCTTAACAAGTCCCGCGGGATGGAAGTTATTGCGAAAATCAATTGCATAATAAAGTGAAAAGCTTTGTGGTGGACTCACCATAGACTTATGTGGAATGGCGGAGATGTTCGCGTACTAAACGTATAAACCCATCAATCCTTTGGTTAAGCGTTTGGCAAGACACCGTTTATTTGCATTTTGTAGCCCCTGGCTAACAACTCATAAAATGAAATGTAAGTGAGACAATTCATCGTCAACAAGTATTTTAAATATCTCCAGGTTGGGAGCAGAGACGGCATAATTAGGGAGGGAGTTCCAAGGCTGGCATACGCGAAGAGAAAAGAAATTTCAAAGGCATTTAAGATGGCTATAATGAACTGTCAGTTTCAGAGGGTGACCTCTAATTTAGCGTTGTGGTTCAATTCCAGAAGCGGACGACAAATGTGGTTTGGGTTCTTCAGAATCTGGTAAAACATTATGAGATCCCCCCGCAAAACCCTATATCGATTGCTGTAGATTCTTAGAGATTTCAGTCTAAGCTGATAGGGCAGATGAAAGAGGCCCCTGACGTTCTTGGTTGCCCGTCGTTGAGGAGTTTCGAGTGCAACGAGATCCTGTTTCTGCCACGGCTGCCACGCCTGAATAGCATATTCCACGTGTGGTATCACGTAGGCGTTAAGCATTTGGGGAAATATTGAGGGTTCAAATCGACCGAAGGCTTTGCGAAGAAGGCCGAAGTGTTGATTTCCGGTTTTCGTCGCCTTCTCTGCTTGTTTTGAACACCCGAGATCATCCTGTACCAATACACCCAGGTCATTCTCCTGAGAAACCTTCGCCAAGGTGTGGTCTCCAATCTTGTAAGCGCTCACCTGCTGGTGACGCAGATGCATCACTTTGCACTTAGCCATGTTCAATTGAAGCTTGTGTCTCTTTGACCATTCGTAAATGCAATCTAAGTCATGTTGGAGCAGATCCTGATCTGGCTTGTTACTAATCGCCCGCCATAGCTTGACGTCATCGGCGAAAAGCAGGAAATTTGAGGAGATGACTCTCGCGAAGTCGTTGATAAACACCAGGAATAAACGCGGTCCCAGCACTGAGCCTTGTGGGACACCACATTCCACCTCAATTGGGTTAGAAAGTGATTCCCTAACACATACTAGAAGCTTTCGTTGGTAAAGGAAGTTGCCAATCCAACCAAGTACAGGATCTCCGATTCCGTAACTTTGTAGTCTTTGAAGTAGAATAGGGTGATCAAGGCGGTAGAAAGCTTTGGAGAAGTCCAGATAGATGACGTCAACTCCGACCACATCATCAGCCACTTCCGTCCAACTACCTCGTGCAATCAGTAGGTTGGTGGTGCATGACCGGTGTTGACGGAAGCCATGCTGTTCCGGTACCAAAATGTTACATTTTTCCAGGTAGTCCATTAAAGCCTCAGCGACGACTGCTTCCATCACCTTCGCGAGCACCGGGAGGAGAGTCACTGGACGATAGTTTGCAGGATCGGAACGGCTACCGCCTTTAAAAATAAGGGTTATAATGCCACACTTCCACATAGTGGGGACTTGTTGTTCATCAAAGCACTTTTGAAAGAACTGTGACAGTGGTTCAGCTATCATTTTGGCTGAATCATAGCTTTTTAAGTGTATGCCACGAGGTGCTGAGTGTTGATTAGAGAACTCAGAGTACACCGTCAGTAAAATGAGCCTGTTCCGATTAAAACTGACATTTCCCTCAATCACGCCTCAAACTTCAGTGGGCGACGTTAGCTTAAGCTGGACTTCATCGTGAACAGTGTCGCATACCTAGTTGCAAATATAGTGTTTATTTGTTCAACAGAACATGAGGCCTCCTGTACTCTATTGCATTTTTGAACGCTTGTTGCAACCAAATTCAGCTAGATAGAAAAAAAGATCCTGCAAATCACCGTTTTGTTTTAGTAAGACTCGTCAGAGTCCTGCATCCGCTGGATTGTGTTGAATCAAAGCCTATGGCTTCGTTTTCTCTAGCCAAAAGCTCAAGTCACTAAGCCATGGGTTACTTCGGTCGATATGCATGACATATAATTGACGCGGTACATCCTTTTGTGTAATGCGCCTTGGGGATGTGCGGAGGAATCCGTTGGGCTCCAGAGCTGTGGTTTACTTGTCAAGCCGGCACCAATCTATATTTCTTGTAAGCCATCCGGATGAGCACACATTATTTGAGAGTAGCAATCGGTTTGGTGATTCGTACTTCACCTAACAAGATAAACCCATCAATCACTTTGATGAGCGTCGCAGGATAAATGGTTTTTCACTTACAGAATTATTCACAACTTTGATTTTCAGTGAAGGCACTCTGAAGACGGTGACACGCAAATGGATGTCGAGCAAAGGCGTCTTTAAAAGAAACGTCGAAGTGCTGAGAACCCCCGCTTTACTGGTAAGCTTCGAAAGCCCACGGCTAGTTGTTTTGTCCACTGGAATCCAAGTTACTCTAGAATTTGACGCTAAGTGAGGAGGCAGTTAGTTGTTAAAGAACGTTCCATTCATCGAATCAAGTCGGGCACACACAAGCTGAAAATCCACATCAACTACACCTGCGCATTCACTTACCCATGCACCAAGTACACATTGCTATCAAAACCAAGCAACAACCACCAACCAGTACTTCATTAAGCACTATTTGTAGAAGATGTTGGGAGAGTTGGCTACGGTCTACTAAATACTCGTGTCGCATTAATCTCAACTCTTTCGTGTTCGCAAAGATTGACTTCCACCTACGTCGGTGGAAACACACGGATTGAAGCCATTCTTTTTCTCTTCATACTGCTTGATAGGATACATGATTACAACTTACAATTTGGGCACGTCCCTAAAATATCACTTTGACGAAGCGATCAAAGTGATTGTGCTTTTGGTATTGAAAATTTGCTGCATAACAGTTAGTCTAACTGGGAACCGCATTTGTAGCTTGAGTTCAAATATTTGGCAACGAAGATTCTCCCCAGATAATCAGGAAGGCGGATCTCGAACAATCCGAAATATACCGAGTGGTCTATTCGTAGTTTGGGAGTTTCCGGTTTACATCATCAGAAGTAGAGCCCACTATACTGACATTGGAGATGGTTGCATGTACACTGGAGCGTTAAGGTTGATTGCTGCCCGTGTGCTCTGCTTAAGTTAATGTTTCCATTATGCAGAAGACGGGGCTAAGTAAGAGACCGGGCTTTTGGCACCAAGCGACTCGTCATTTAATAATATTTTTGGTTAATTAAATATTCATGGACTTTTGAGGAGTGGTCATAGGGTGCATGCGCATCAATTGCCAATTGATCCTCACCTACTGGGTTACTACTTAGGATCAGTGTGCTTTCTAACCACCAAATCCATTTAGGCCGCAGTCAATTTTTGAAAAAATATTGCACAATCACCCAGGTTTCTGGGTTAGTTTCTGCGGTGCAATGCTCGTTCCCATCGAGAGAGTTGATACAGTGATGCAGTTTTGCAGACTGTATCATGCACCACTGTACAGTGGATTTCCGCAGTCAACGTGTTCACATAACACTTTTCACTGCAACGAATTCACCATCACTCTCATACACAGGATAAGACGATCTTCTTCCTTAGTGACAGCCTTAGACTTACGCGGCCAATTGGCCTGCAGCATCGTGGGCATCCCGGGCAGAGTTGTGAAAGGTGTTTCAAGGAAACTTCTAACAAAAAGTCCTACATAATCGGTTATCTGTTTCTACAGAGGCGCTAAACCAACACTTACCTAAGTACCTGACAAACCGAGCATAAGCTTGCGCCGGAGCTCCTGCACTTCTGCAAATACTAACGACCAAGAAGGCCATATTGCCAAGGCGATACCTACTCCACCACTCTGTCAACCTCCATGGTAAAATATGCAGTATTTTCCCCCTTTATTAGTTTATCTATTAGATGACAGCTTCGAAGATCCATGAGAACAGCTCCGAAATCGGCCAACGCATGCGGAGCGTGCAAGCTGTGTATGTGGTTTTTAGTTTCCTAAAACCACAGGTTTAGGAACATTTACAGTGCACGGGGGTTATACTGCACTTTTTCGCGTTGACTGACATTATACTTGGAGTTCAGTCATACTAGCTGTTTGAAAAATGTTTGTTATGGCTATCCGAAGTCCTAACTGTCATCTAAATAATGGCGGCAAATGTCAACACTTCGGTTATAAACGCCAATACCACATCGACTTCTACAACAACAGCCCAGTTAAGCCACAGTTGATTTGGTTCGGTAGGTGGAGAATACCTGAACCTACGCATAGAATTGGGGCTTACGGTAAAGTTATAAATCTGCCTGAAGACTCTAAAGTCAATAAGTAGGATGCTTTATAAGTGATAGATTATGATTTATAACGGAAAAAGTTGTGACCGCTTGAACGGTCCAGTAGTATTAACGGAGTGCGAAGTGTGAAATATTCTTTCGGGTGATGGGGAAAACTCGGAAAATCTCGGGTTTCAGGTGGCTCACGGAATTATGCACATAAACACTAATGCTGGTCTCCTCACTGTTAACTAGCTGAGCCGGCTGGTGAGCACACTGTTTGGTCTGCGTTACTTCGTCTCCCGATAGAAAAGTACTATGTCACGTAATGTAAATGGGATAGAGGGTAGTCCAGTCGTATATTTAAAACGTTAATATGAAACCGAAAATGACTTGAGAAGGAAGAGCGTTCCAATTAGAGAAAGGGTCTTGTCGGTAATCAGGTCGACTGTCGTTTGTTGCCAGTTTGACTTGGTGGCCTCTCAGTTTGGTATTGTGGCCGACTTGCAACAAATCGTTACAGGTGTATTTGGGGTTAGCCAGTATTTGGTACACCAAGATAAGGCCTCATCGCAGACACCGATATTCGCAGTTATACAAGCCTAAGGCTTGCAGTCTTTGATGGTATGGGAGGTGACGTCCCGAGCACATCAGCATCTTGTCTGCGCCAAGTTCGCCTGGCCTGAATCACGTACTCCACGTAGGGCCTCAAGAGGCATCCAGCATTTGTGGAAGGATTGATGACACCTACTGAACGTCTTTCGTAAGAGGCCAATGTGAAGACTAGCTATTCTCGATGCTCTTTCGGTCTGTTTTGAGCAGCCAAAGTCCTCTTGCACGATTACTCCGAGGTCACTTTCTTGAGCAGCATGCGCAACTGCAGCGCTCCCGGTCGACACTCATGAGTACAATGATGATGCATGCTAAGAAATTTGCATTTCGTCAAGTTAAAATGGAGCCGGTATTAGGATGACCACGTAGATAGCCGTTGAGATCGCTTTGAAGTGCCGCGTGGTCGTTCACTATTGTGATATCGCGCCAGATCTGGTCATGGTCTGTAAACAGTAGAAAGTCCGACTAAAGCTAATTGACACCATCGTTACTTAACACTCGGAATAAACTTGGTTCAAGTACCGATTGGTGGATCAAACCACACTGGACTTCTATTGGAGTGGAGATAGAGCCGCGGACCTTCATGCCCATCTGACATTGAATGAGGAATTTGCTTATCCAACCTAACGCAAGGTCAACAATTTCATGGCTTCGAAGCTTGTGTAGAAGAATGCGGTGGTCCAGGAGATCACATGCTTTAAAGAGGTTCAAGTACACGACGGCTGCTGCTTGTCTGTCATCGACTAAGTTCGTCCAGCTTCGTCGGGCTAACTACCAGTTTTTGGTGCAGACGGATTTAGGAGGAGACCGTATTGCTTTGATAATATGATGTGGTTTCTCCCAAGATATCTCCTGAGTGCCACTGCTATTTTGCCATCCATAAGTTTAGATAACGCTTGGAGGAGATGAATTTGGATGGTAGTTCGGTGGCTCCGCGTGGTTTCCACTCTTGCAAATCTTGGTGCTTATGCCATATTTCCACATTGTGCCAACCTGCATTTCCTCAAGACTCCGGCGAAAGAACCCAGATAGTGGTTCGGCGATTTTCAAGGCGTCTTCTTCTAATTTCTTCGGATTCATGTAGTCCACATCAGGAAAGCCGTGCACGCCCAAAGGAAACAGCCTTACATCACATTTAGTGTGGGGCAGGATACGTGGTGTAACCTGGGGGCGGAGTAAGTTGTGTCAAGAACAGGTGAGGCGATGATTCACTTTAGAAAGCGCGGGCAAACTTTGGCAAAAACGCAATAGCTAACAATAAGTTAGAACCAGGTTGTTTACTGCAAGCTGATTTATAATTCTGCGCTGCACTCTGCGCAGCCAGTTGAGGTGTCTGCACATCATCTTAAAATTAATACTTCATTTCGTTGCTAAGTCCTCACGTTGTTTGAGTTTGTTTTCGCGGACCAATTTGACACAATGCTTTTGCTGAGTTGTGTGAGTATCCCAGGCCTGCACACCCACACAGGTCTTATAAGCGCACCAGGCCGAATCCATCAAAAACTTGCATTTTCCTGTCCGACTGCTCAGGTAGGACTTCATTCGCTTCGGGTGAAAGTATTTGGTTTCCGAGGCATTCGCCTTTAGCTCAGTGAACTGGGGGACAAATTCCCTCCAGATGACATCGAAAGGCTGCCCATCTAGGAAGAACCAGTTGGTTCCTTGAATTAGTCCACACGGTGTACCATAATGAGTGACGAGGTAAACTTTCTCCTTGTTGATACAAATGTATTCCGCTTAGCACGTGTAACAGAAGGGTAAAGTCGAATGATGGCCACGACCAAGCGGTACAGCCATGGTTACGACTCCGATCGTTATTTTTCGTTGGTGAACACAAGGTTTACCACAGATGTTTCGTCGCCAATTCTGAATCTCATGGGATCGGTGACGTGGTTGCATAGCTTCATCATGGCGATCACTTCCTGCAAATCCGCTCATTGTATGCTGGTCAAAGTCCCGCATCGGAAGAAGGTGACAGTATAACTGTGTCAGGATTTGCCTCCTAGCAGACGCCAGACGGTTATCCAATTTTCAAGGTGAACAATGGACTGCAATAGACTACTGGCAGTAAACATATATCCCTAAGTTTCAGGTGCAGGCGGTACCAGAGGGAATCAACAACTTGTGTAACTGGATCCTCGATGATATCGATTTACAGGTGAGATCGGGAGTACAAGGGAATTCTACCTCCTCTACTTAAGCAATCGTTTCGTAGCAGAGTCATACCGGGGAGAGCTATGTTAGCATCAGTGATCCCATTATTCCGCTGGCTTTCGGTTATCATGACGATGTCCCTATTAGTGGGAACCTGATGAGTGCGAAGTTCAGCCAGCTTATGGATAAGACCCTATATGTTGGTATACAAGCGACTGATGGTCTGAGATGTTAGCGGTGTATTTAGGGATGTGGCTTCTGAGGGGATACGTTATGAGTGATTTTGACTGTACCGTAATCGCAGGCCCCGGAGAGATTCTATGTTTGTATGTAAACTTTTCAGCATCAGTAAGCTGCCGCAAACCTAAATAT